AACCAGCCACCAGACACCCCCCCCACCCGCCCACCCCCCCATCCCTGCCCGAGTCTGCTCCTCCTGGGTGACCCTAATCCCAGCCACTGATTCTGGCTCCGAGCAGCTGATTTAGCAGCAGTAACAGCAGGCCTCAAAAGCAAACACAGGAGATTAGAAGAGATTAGCGTTATCTGCCCCGGGGGGCCCTGGGAAAGAAAAGATCCCTGCAAAGCTGTGTGCTTCAATACTGTGTATTTCTCCCCTAACTGAGACGTCGGCTTTGAAAAGAAAAATTTTAAAAAGAGTTTGGTTAGAATATAAGTGAGGGACGTCTCTGGGAATAGAAAAGAATCTTATTGAGAAAGCGCGTTTCTGGAGATAAAAAAAAGCAATCTTTAGTTGTAGAGGGAGTTTCCCATCCCATCCCTGAATGACTCGCCTTTTCTCTCAGAAAGAAAACCCCAAAAAAGTTTTGTTTGGGGGGGGAAAACGTGTCCTCCGTGCGTTGGAGCTGAGTGACAGAAGTGGCCTGCGCCGCAGATTCTTGGCCTTGTCGGGCCCTGTCTCCGTGGTTTGAGCTCACGCCATGCTGGACACGTGGAGTTTCCTGACACGCAGGAGAGCTCGCAGAGTTCCGTGGGCTGTCCCCTTGAGCGTCCCTGACCTGCAAGTCATTGCCCGTCTTACTTGTAGAAGAGAACTAAGGAGTCCCATCTTAAAGGCTATAAAAGACGTCAGATACCAACACAACCCGTAGAAGGATTTGACGTCTATTCCAAACCGTCCTTGTTCCTTTTTGCCCTGAACGTAATTTTCAGTGCTTGGGGGCGGGAGGGGAAGCGGGATGCTCTTCTGGTGCCACAGTGCAGTTCGAGGTCAGGAGGAAACCCGGATCTGATTGGCTGGAGTCTACACAAGGGGCTGGGCCAGGCTGACAGGTCACGTGCAGCAAATCACTCTCCTTTCTGTTTCCTGCTTCCGCGAACCTCGGGCGTGCAGCCCACAGGACCCGTCTTCCTTTCTTGCCCTCTCTGGTGCTTTCCTGTCGTGATGCTAATTTGGGGAACTTTGCGGTTTGGTCACCTGGCTTGCTCTTGCTCCACAGTCTCCTCACATGCGTATCGGGACTCTCCCTCCTCTCTCATGTCTTGGTGGCCAGTGGGTGGCATACTTCAGATGTGGACTTGGTCAGAGGGAGTGGCGCTAGGTAGGGCTCCAGGGGAATGAAATTCCAGAGAGGCAGCAATGCCAGAGGACCAGGTGATGGGGCCCCAGCTAATAATTATTTTCCATTTGTTCATTGGGAACCCCATAAAAGGAGAGACTGTGCGCCTTGCTTTTCTTGTCCATGGGTCCATGGTCTGGCTGTGTGTACCAGGGGTCCCAAATAATGACATAGCATTGTCACCGCAGCCTTGCTGAGCAAAGATGCCATGGGCCCAGGCTCCTCCTGGCTCGTGGCTGCCCCATCCCCAGGGCATTGCCTCTGTCTCCATGGTCCCAATGAGCTCACCTTCTCATTTTCAATCCAACTGGCATGGAGCAGAACTGTGACATGGAGTGGGGACAGGGACCAGCTAACTGCGGCCTGTGGCTGGCCACCTGTTTTTGTAAACTCAGTTTTATTGGAACATAGCCACTGCGATTTGCTTAAATATTGTCTACGTTGAGTGGTTGCAACAGAGATAATATAATACGGCCAACAAAACCTACCACGTTTACGTTCTGGCCCTTTAAGACAAAGTTTGCTGACCTCTTCATTAAGGGCACCCAGAGGCTGACTTCTGCTTATACCCCACTGACTAGACCTTACTCACATGGGCACACCTAGCTGCAAGGGAGTCTGGGAAACGCAGTCTTGATGCTGGGTGGCCAGTGACCCATCTAGACGATCAGTTATTAGTAAAGGGAAATGACTCCTGCAGGACAGCCTAGGTGCCTTTCCTCTGCTGTGTCACGTGTCCTTTGGCCAAACTTCGGTGCCTGTTTTTTTAAACTCTGAACTTACAAACAAGGTTCCTATCTATATCCATTTATAAACACGTTGATTTCTTTTGTCACCTCTGCCTTTCTTTCCTCGCTCTGCCATATCAGAACTAGAGTTCCATTCAAGAGCAGACTTGACTCTTAGAGTCTCCTTCCTGAATGCTTTTGTCTTCAAGTGCAGCTGTCCCTTCCCTTCCAGTCACAAAGACCCTGTTGGTGTGAGGACTCCACTCCAGCATTCCACATCCTCGTCAGGATTTGGCCCAAAGCAGAAATCTCCCTCTACTTCTGGGAATAGAAAGCACTTCCCTCCACAGGGCGAGTTAGGAATCTATTGCATTCTTGATGGTGAGTAAGCAGGAGTCCCAGCAGAAGGACCTAATGACAAGGTCCCACCCACCCCTTTCCTGCCATATCCTCTCTCTGGTCGACTTCCTCCCATTCTCTCCCTCAATGACAACTCCTCATGCTTCGCCTTCAACATGCAAGGCCTCAGCTTTGCAGATTCCTGAAGCAGGCATGCAGCTTCTTCACACTCCTCTCTCCTCGTTGGCCTGCCTCTTTGGAATAACTTCCAGAGGCCATGTTCAATCCCCACTCTCAGCACAGCCTCTTGGTTATGCCCAGGAGACCCTATTCACCACCCTGTGTTCCGGCTTCAATCTTGCACTTGCTTGTGACTCGTGGACTATCTGCACGTGAGCACCGAACAACCAAGAACCGGGTCTGGGCAAAATCTGAAATCACTGTGCACTGTGCAAGAAACGAGAGGACCACCACGGTCCCCGGCTCAGAGAAAGAAGCCCAGATAGCCACCGTCTCCAAACCATCGAAGGGGGGGTCGTGCAGAAAAGGGGTCACATCATTTCTTTTTTTAAAATATTTTATTTGTTTATTTTTAGAGAGGGGGAAGGGAAGGAGAAAGAACAAGAGAGAAACATCAATGTGTGGTTGCCTCTCATGCACCCCCTACTGGGGATCCGGCCTGTAACCCAGGCATGTGCCCCGACTGGGAATCGAACCAGTGACCCTTTGCTTCACAGGCCGGTGCTCAATCCACTGAGCTACACCAGCCAGGGCCACAACATTTCTGTAAGGTTCCCATCTGATCTGACTTTTTAAAAGTCACGAGCAAGAATTATTTTGGTAAATAAATAAATTTTTTTAAAAGAACAATAAAGATGGCCCAGAATGGCAAAACCGGGATGAAAAGGCAACACTGTTTTTATGCAAAATCAGGAGGAACAGTCCAAGAAGTGGAGCTGCCCAAGAGGAAATGGGTGTGCAGCGTGACAGTGAGATTCTTGTTTGGATGATATTCAAGTAAATGCTGAGTGAGTCCTGGATCCCAAAAGGAATGGAGAGGTCAACAAAGAGGCTCCCCGACTCAGTCACCTTTCGGTCACAGAGTAAGAGCGACCTCCTTACAGTGGCTCAGGTCAGACGGGATTTCTGGAGAGAACGCAGCTCTCGTGGAATCCACGGAAAACCCGAGTGGCGTGGCTGTGGGACGGGCGGGACAGAGACCCGCTCCAGGCCAGCCCCACCGTGGCGACTCAGCTCCCAACTCTGAGTCTCAGTTGTTTTAGTTCAAATTCATCCCCGAGAATCTGGATTTGGCTTCATCTGAGTCAGGCGCGCAGGGATGGTTCAGTCTGTGGTGGTCTCAGGGGTGGAGTCTGGGGACTCGGAACAGAAGAGTGTGATGACAGAGACCTCCAGGCTGTGGGCGTGGAAACTCTCAGAAAAGTTGGGAGGGGCAGACGCCTCCAAGTGGTGGTTCCGGTCCTGACCAAACTCAGGGCTCATTCCTTTCAAGCCGAAAGGAATTGCAAGCAGATGCCGTTAACGCTTCCTGTGGTTGTGAAGAGGTGGGGACTAATTCACATTCGGCTGACGGCCTGCACGTGATTTAAAGTGAGGGGACGGGAGAGGGGACAGCGGGGCTGTGGGAAGAGGGGGTGGGAAGGGAGGAGATGCAGCCCACTGGGACCCACGCTGTCCAGGACAGGACCCCCCACGCACACACTGCCACGGGCCGAATCGCATGTTACATACCACCTGTATCAGTGCAGAATTTTCCATATGCAGTTTTAAAATGAACTTGTAAAGCTTTAGAGGAGGGTTCCATTCGCAAATAGGCTGCACAAATAACACACAGCTCCCATGATCCCTCTCCCGGCTTCCGTTGCTGTCCGCACCCGACACGACCGTGGTGCACTCCCAACACCTACCGGGTCCGTAATTAATGTCTAAACTGCACGCTTTATTTGGATGCCATCAGTTTTCTCCTACTGCCAACTTTTTTTTTCCGTGCCAGGATCCCACTCAAACCACCTGCATTGGCTCCCCAGGGCTTCCCGAACAAATCACCACACACGCGGTGACTTAAAGCAATCGCAACATGCTTGGGCACAGTCTGGAGGTCGGAAGTCCGAGACCCGTAGGGCCCGCTCCGTCCGAGTCCTTCCACGTCTCCTCCGGCTTCCGGTGGCTCCAGGTGACCCTCCGCCGGTGCCCATGCGGGGCCAGGTCCCCCGTCCAGCTTCCTCATACAAACCACCGGGGTTAGGGCCCATTCTACACACAGGATAGTCTCGTCTTGAGAAACAGCTTAATTACAGCTGTAAGACCCTATTTCTAAATAAGTTCACGTTCGCAGCTACTGGGGGCTAGGACTTGGACATGTCTCTTGGGGAACATCACATGACCCACTGTGACCCTGTATTACATTTAGTCTCCCGCGGTGGTGGACACACTGAGGGAACGTGTGATTCAAGTCCACGGGCATTTACCCAACACATTTCCGGGCGCAGCACTGGGCTGTGTACTGCGAGAGCAGGACACTGGTCACGTGTCGAGTGAGCAGGGAGCCAGGGAAGGGGGACGGGGGCCCTCAGGCCCCTCATGGCCCAATAGTCAGGCCAGGAAGGGGCTGGGGTGCAGTCCTGGAAGACAGCTGTGCTCTCTGCAGCAGCAGGATGTCCTGGGACAGCCCGGGGGCGGGGGCTGGGGCAGAGACGGGGGCTGCAGGGGCCAAGGCAAGGACCTGGCCGTGGGGCATGGGAGTCTGGCCAAGAGTCTACTCTGCAGAGCAAAGAGGAGGCACTCGGGCCCTGAGGTCAGGGACCCCAGGCCGGCCTGTGGGGCTTGCCAGGAGCACGGCCACCGTCCAGTAAAACCAAATCCGTGAGGGAGCAGAAGCAGCGTCTGGCTGGCTGGGGCTGAGCAGAGGAAGTGCTGACCAGGCCCCACAGCCCCTGTGCCCCCGGCCAGCACTGGCCCCAACGGGGAAGTCCGACCTGACCGGGTGGGTGAGGGGACAGGGGCCCAGTGACCACAGGGACAGGGACGTCGAGGGTCAGGGCAGCCAAAGCAACTGGGGCGCTGAGCGTTGAGACTGAGCAGTGAGAGGGGAGCAGCGGAGACAAAGGCAGAGGGTGGGGCGTGCAGCATGACAGGCCTCCAGGCAGGACTCCAGGACCGAAGGCTGGGGGCAGGGAGAGCCCAGTAGAGCCTGGCCTGCTGCTGGTCCAAGGGGAAGAAGGTGAGGGCAAGGCTACGGCGGTGTTCCTCAACCGCCAGCAGCCCGGCAGAGGCATTAAACACCGTAGCCTGCGGGACTGGATGGCCTGGGTTCAAATCCTCTTTGTCTCCCCCGCTGTGTTACTTTGAGCAAGTTACTTAACCTCTCTGGGCCTCATCTGGGGGACAAGCCCAGCACCTGCCTTCACAGGGCTGTCGTAGACATTGAGTTAGAACATGCGAAGCCCTGGGCTCGGTGCCTGGCACCTGTGCTACGTAAACATGTGTGAGTAGCACAATTATGTGAAATACAATAGTTTCAGCGTTAATCAGTATTTCCCAAATTGTGTTCCATGGGATGTTCAACTAACTTCCACCAAAAAGGTTCTTACAGTCAAGTGAGTTTGGAAAAACGTCTCCTATCATATCCACCAGGAGCTCTGACAGATCTATAGCTTTAAAAGGAAAAAAAAAAACTAACTCTGTTTAGCCCGGTGTTTCCCTTGAGGACGCCATGTGGAACAGGGTTCCACGGGACACCAGTTTGGGAAGTGCTGTGGGGTAGGCAGTGAGGGAAGGGTCCGTGGGACAGACCCGGGGCAGGCCAAGAGGTGGAGAAGACCAGGGTGCTGTTGGGTGTGGAGGGGAGAGAAGAAGGGGCAGAAGTGACCCTGGGAAGTCACATTTCTGGGCAGCAAATGGGGCAGCAGCCCAGGGGTGAGGAGTGGGGAGCATCCGTCATTCACTTACACACCCACTCAGCCTCCACCCCCTCCCTCCACCACTCCTTCCCAGGGTCGGAGGTCGTGGATCTAAACGCTGTGGCTTCCCCAAGGAGAGGTTCAGAGAGGAGAAGGAGGGAGGGGTCAGCTGCCTCCTGGGGAGAGACTTCCAGTCTCTGGAAGGCACAGAGGCGCGCTGTCCTCACTGTGCACAGACCGTGTGGTCGTAAAATCGACAGCAGTTGTCCAGGGCCCCTGGGCTGAACTCTGGGCTGGGGATGGAAAAAAGCAGAGGCTGCAGACCGAGCCCCAGGACGGGCCCTGCTGGCCACCTGAGGCTGGGCCGCCCCGGGAAACGCCCTGCTCCATGTCTCCGGTGCGTCTTTCCTCCCCAAGTTTGATTCTCAAGCCCTGCTTCCTCTTCCCCGGCCACCTGAACCACAGCTGGGACATTTCTACCCTGGGCCCTGGTGCCCCAGGCGCCCCCCACGCCCTCACCTCTGGAAGGCCTCACGGCAGCACTGATACACCTCGAAGCTGCTGCCGCTGAGGGTCACGTTCAGGAGGGCCGCGCAGTCGACCTCGGCCCCCCCTGGGCACGTGGAGGACCCCTGTGCAGGGAGAGCAGTCAGTGAGCAGAGCTGCTCCACCCCCCACCCCCCACCCCAGGGACCCCTTGAAGAGTCCAGAGCCCCTGAGCCCGGCCCAGATAGGAAATCCAGCTCTGCCAGGCAGGGACTCACCTGCGACACAGGCGTTCACCAGGGACATGCAGGTGCCTGTGCAGAGTGCCCGCGTTAGGATCCGGGAGAAGTCGCTCTTCCGCTGGGGGACCGAGGAGACTGAGAGGGGACAGGAGGACTCAGGGCCAGCATGCAGGGGCCTCTCTGCCCATGCTCTGCCCCTCTGGCCGTGTCCGCAGCTCCCTTTCCTTGTCTGACACTGGCTGAGTTTTGGAGTCCAAGGTCACTTCCTTGGCCTGACTTGGGCCACTAGGTAGCACCCCTGACGCGCCATCAGGGGCAGAGGTCAGAAAAGAACCCGAGTCTGGACTCAGGCAGACCTGGGGTTAAATGCTGGCTTAGCCACTTACCAGCTAAGTGATTTAGGCCATCACTTCACTTCTCCGAGATTCAGTGTCCCGGCCCATTCAGTGTCCTGGTTCCCCCCGACTAAGTAGGAGGAATGGTTCCTCTGGAGAGCTGAGAGCTGAGGCACCGCAGGCCTGCCTGTCCCCTGTGGGTGCGGGAAACGGCAGGCCAGAGTCTCAGGGGACAGGCCAGCACCACACCTCCTGTGGCTCCCAGGTCCCAGGGCCAGACTTGGCCTGGGCCGTGCCTGGAAGCAGGGAATCAGGGAACTCCCTGGCTGAGAGGAGCCTCTACCGCCACCTTGCTCGGACCTTGCCTCAGACAACATGGGGAGCTGAGGCCTGCAGATCCCCGGGAGGCTGCTGCACAGCCAGACCTGGAGTCCAGGGCCCTGACGGCTCGGGACGCCCCCAGCACTCACTCAAGCCTCGCAGCACGATCCCAATGGAGCTGATGTTGGCGAATCCACAGACGGCGTACGTCGCGTTGCGAGGATTTCCGCTCTGACCTGAAATTACAGAAGACGAGTGAGGAGGGGCTCCCCTCAGACAGGATGGGAGTACCCTACACCAGCCAGTGCCCTGGCCTTCATATCACCCACTTCCTCTGTGTCTTTGACCTTGGGTGCGCTTGGTACTGCCCTAGGCCTTGCACACCTGCCTTTATGTAAATCAGTTCGCACTGCACCACTTCAGGTGCCCTTCCATCTTCTTCATCAGAGGCTCTCGGGGTGTGACTCAGGCTTGCTCAGTCCAACTCTGCACCCAGGGGGCACTTGGGCAAACGACCCCTTCCCTATTCTCTGTGGTCTCACACTTCTGTCTCCCGGGACCATCTCGGGTGGAGAGTTCCCAGGGTGCCATCATGCTGAGGGTGGGGAGCAAGGGACACAGAGCCCATCTGACTTGGCTTCCAGGCTTGGCCCCAGGGATGATCAGGATGAGCAAGTCAGTGGCCTCTTTACATTTTCATTTCCCTGCCGGGGACGTGGGGGCAACAGTACCAGCCTGGAGGGGCCATGGCGGGGGTAGTAGCACCGTGTTCGGAGGGCACTGGGCACCAGGGAAGACAGGGTGGCAGGAATGGAGGGTGAGCAGTGAGGGGAAAGCTGGTTTTTTTTACTCCCTACAAACTTTGTTTTTTTAAAAAAGAGTACATTTCTTTACAATTTAAAAAATACATAACTTGAAAGACAAAAAAATTATTCATGTTAAAAGTTCCTAGTAACCCCAAGAAACACAAATTAAAACAGCGAGCTATTATTCGTCCATTCAGATAGCAGAACTTCTTTTCTGAAGAGGCTCTTCCATGCTGTTCCGTGTGTGGGAAAGTCCAGACTCACAGGCACAGCTGGGGTGGGAGGGATTCCAGCTGCTGCAGCCCTTTGGGAAAGTCACTGGCAGCAACCACGGGAGGACTCACGCCGCGCGGTCCAGTCCTCCCACATCTGGGAATGCTCCCGCGGAAGTGAGCCGAGAGCAGGCGAAAGTTCTGCACACAACCTGTTCCTTTCACCATTGCGTATAATCGCCAAGTAACGGCCCTACCCTGAATGGCTGGACAGGGGGTCACTTAAATATGTGGGGATACAGACATCGAAAATGATGCATATGCCACAATAGTAGATAGGAAAGAAACCCGGCTACAATATTGTATGGATACTAAAACGAGCACTGCGTAAAGTCGCTTTGAAAGAACAGAAGAAAATGCCCTGGCTGGTGTGGCTCAGTGGACCTGAGCGTGGGCCTGCGAACCAAAGAGTTGCCGGTAGGGGGCGTGCAAGAGGCAACCACACATTGATGTTTCTCGCCTTCTCTTTCTCCTTCCCTTCCCTTCCCTCTGGAAATAAATAAATAAAACAAGAGGCTGAATGTCACTGCAGGCTCAGGGAGCAGGGCGGACAGCTGCAGGTGTCATGCCCCTGCCTCAGGGAGGGGACCAGACACTCACGGAGATCCACTGCTTCTTGCTGCCGATCCATTCCTCGGCCCCCGCCAGGCGGCGCTGCTTGTACTGGGACAGCTCCTGATACTCCACAAACTCGTTCAGGAACAGCTTGGTGCCCAGCAGCTCAGCCACCACGGGGCAGTCCTCCCAGGCCACACCCATCAAGAAAGCCACGGGCTGCAGGATGTAGGAGCAGAGCAGCTGAGGCACAAGGCAAGAGGAGCTGCTGGGACCTGGGCTGGTCGGGTTCTGCTGGGTGTCCACCCACCCCCCCAGTGCCACCCCTCAGTGCCCGGGCCACCCCCCCTCCACAGGCCCAGCCAGCTGCCCAGAGCTGTACCTGGAAGCTGAGCCCCTGAACGTCCATCAGGTCCCCCAGCCAGGAGAGGGCAGCGTTGATGAAGTCCAGCACCGCCAGGAAGGCGATGAGGTTGGCCGCGATGTTAGCCAGGACCCTCACGGACATGGCGGCCCCAGTGCTGGCGGCCTCTAAGAGGTTCCGGGCGTCTCTGTGGTTGGGGTCGAGAGCCATCTTACTGGTCAACCAACAGCAGGGCCCCTCCTCCCATGGAGGTCAGAGAAGATCCCTGGACAATGTACTTCTGAGCCGAAGGTTCTACTTTCCCCTCTGACGGCCAGAGAAAGAAAGGGGCTGGTCCCAGCCTTAGGATGAGGCCCAGACTTCCAGCGCAGGGCGGCCGAGGCGGGAGCCGTCGTCAGCCACGCGTGGCTTCTGTGCATTTGAAAGGAGACTGCTCAGAACCGAGGTGTGTGGTAAGAGTAAGTGACACACCAGACTTTGCAGACTTAGTACAAAATAAAGCCAATATAAAAATAAAATTATTTTATAAAATGATTACATTTCTATTTTCTACATGTTGAAATAATGGTATTTTGAATATATTTGCTTAAATAAAATATTTTATTAAAATCATCTGTGTTGCCCTGGCTGGTGTGGCTCAGTGGATTGAGCACTGGCCTGTGAAGCAAAGGGTCGCTGGTTCGATTCCCAGTCAGGGCACATTCCTGGGTTGTGGGCCAGGTCCCCAGTGTGGAGGCATGCAAGAGGCAACCACACATTGATGTTTCTCTCCCTCTTCCTCCCTTCCCTTCTCTAAAAAAAATAAATAAAATCTCTTTTAAAACCATCTGTTTCTTTTTACATTTTTTAAAAGACAACAAGTAGAAAATTTAAAATTATAGATATGGCTCAGTGGATTGAGCACTGGCCAGTGAACTGAAAGGTCACTGGTTCGATTCCCAGTCAGGGCACATGCCTGGGTTGCAGACCAGGTCCCCAGTAGGGGGCGCATGAGAGGCCAATGATTGATTGATTGATGTTTCTCTCTCACATCAATATTTCTCTCCCTCTGTTTCTCCCTCCCTTCCCCACTCTCTAAAAATAAATACATAATATCTTTTTTTAAAAGTTCTAAAATGCAAGCTGTGGCTCACATAGTTATTTCTCTAGGGCCACGCTGCCCTGGACCGTCAGGAAGACGAGAGACTACGGCTGGGGACTGTACCCCGCAGCACACTTGTCAAAGTGGCACCTTTTCAACGTGTTTCAAGGGTTAGATGTTACACGGCCACTGTTAAGTCTGCGATGACAGGACATTAGGAGGTGAGTGGGGTGCCCGACAGTGCTCCATGTGTGAGCGTCTGAACTCCAGGCGGGTGGAGAAGGTGGCGCAGAGCCTTCTCACAGCCTCCTCGCCGCACGCTCCAGCCCACAGCCCCAAGCCCCGGGCCTTCTCCAGCCCATTGTTTCCTGCTGACCCCAGCATGGAAGCTAAGATCTAAGAACAGGGGGCTGTGCTCCAAGCCCTAATGGGAGCAGTTTCAGCAGAGTGGTGGGCCTGGGCTTGGTGGAAGGGCAGAGAAAATGGGGTTCATTGCCATTCCTGCCTCTGCTCCTGTCCACCCCTCCCCACCCCTGGTGGCCCCTCTCTAGGCACACTCCCGCTGTGCTTACCTGGAGCTCAGTTTCACTCCTCCCTTACTCCTGAACTTGGACTCCTCCACCTCCGGGTAGACCAGCTTGGAGAGGGCCAAAGCACAAGGGGCGGCCATCACAGAGGCAGTGATCAAGGAGGCGGCGTCGATCTGTGACAGTGAGGGAGGGAGGTGCCAAGTGGGGGGAATGTGTGGGGGCCAAACGGTGCAGCCCAGGGCAGCATCTCTTGGGTAATCTTGGGACTGTCCCTCCACTGGCTGGGACCCTCCCCCTTCCTCCAGCCTGGAGCGTACCCCTGGTTTGTCACCCTGAGTCCTAGCAGGGAACACATCCTACCAGTGTTTCGTTCCTGGTGAGCCTGTCTCGGCCACAGCCTCAAATGCCCCAGCTGGTCAGTTCCTGCCCCCCCCCCCCAGAACAGGGGTGTGTCCTGCACAGGCAGGGCTCCCTGGCCCACTGGGTCAGCCCACACACCTCCTCCCCACTGCCGGCTGTTCTCCGAGGCCGAGACAACCCCAGGCGCTGCTGCCAGACCCCTGCTCAGGAATGCATTCAGTTCCGGTGTCCCTGGGCCCCAGTTAGGGAGAGATACACGGTGTGAGCTTTCCTTTTGAACTTTCAAAAAGATCTTTACTGGGAAAGAAAGTACGTCCAGACAACTACAGAGCGTGAAAGGGGCCTGGCTTCCAAAGGGTGGGTTTCGGACCCTCATGTGCCAGAGAAAGAATGACCACGTCTTCCACACCCTGCCAAGGGCTTTCTGTCTATTGCTGCATCTAATTCCTATTGCTGTGAGGTGGGCAGGAACCCTGCCCATTTTACAGATGTGGAAACTAAGTGCTAGTGTGCTTGGCCCTGCCCAGGACCCTACCGATCTGTCCCAGGAGCTCCCCCTCTTGCCCCGCTGACCGGGGAGCATCCGTGTCCGGCCCACTCTGTGTCTCCCTGCCCGGCCTCTGCCCATGTCTAAACCTCCTCTCATCGCCCCTGAACCGGGCGGGTGGGTAGAGGGACCAGTTCCCGGGGATAGTGCAGAGAGCTGGTGCTTGCTTGAGCATCTTTGGGAAACATGGTGAAAAGGGTATGTCGGCCACCGTGGAAGGACTCAGTCGAGGGGCCCTCAGGACCTCAGGCCGGAGAGAAAGTCTAGAGCAGCGTTGCCCAAGCGCTGAACCACATCTGTGATGTTAAGGGTTCCAGTGGCCCAATTATAACAATTAAGAGAAACAGCTAATGTTAATTTTAATAATATATTTTATCTAACCCAATATATCCAAAATATTCTCTTTCCATCCATGCTGTCAATATTAAACATATCAGGAAGGGGGATTAATCCCCCCCCCCCCAGTCTCACAGCGGATCTCATTTCAGAACAGCGGTGTGTGGTCAGCGGTTACTGTGTCGGACAGCGCGGGTCTAGAAATACCCAGATATTAGCGATAGAAGGGGTACAGGGCAAAGGGAGCCAGGAGGTCAGCAACGAAAAGAAAGGAGAGAGCAAGAGGGATCTTCCTAGAATTCAGGGGCTGGGGCACAGGCAACAACTCTACGCCTTGAGAAGGGCGTGGAAGGCCAGGGGAGAGGGCGGGAAGAAGGCGCGGCTGTGGGAGGTCCCCAGGCCGCTGCAGTGGCGGCCAGGAGCCAGGCGGGGGCAGAAAAGAGCTTCTCTGACACCAGACTTTTGACCTGCGCAGCTGTGCTGGGTGGTAGCCCGGGGGCTGCCTCACCACCGGCTGGGAACAGCGCCCCACGGTCGCCTGGCCGGCCCTGGCAGCCTGTGCACCCTCTGCAGAGCTACAGGGAAGTGGGTGCCCAGGCCCCTTCAGTAGGGGAGGCCCTGCTGCACGGGGCTGGGCCTGACTTCTGCCGGAGAAAGGCAGAGAGAGCAGATGAGTTGGAAGGCAGGTTGTGGAGAAGGGACCCAGTTGCTCCAGGATCTTAGTCTTAAGTGAATGGCAGCCACACGCGAGTGGTAGAAAGAACGCCATTCTTCACACGGGCCGTGAGGCCTGGAACAAGGTGAAGACAGTGAAAAGCCCCTAAGTCCTGAAACTACGAGGACGTCCCCTCCCCTAATACACCACCATGGAAGGAGATTCAGGAGCGGTTCTGATATACCAAACTCCTTCCTCCATCTGTTGGGGGGTGGCAGTGGGGGTGCCCCAGCGCTGGTGGGCCCTTCCTAAGCCTCAGTGAGACCAGGTACAAATCAGGAGAGTCTAAAATTCTAGAGGGGAGGGTGCCAGGCCAGGGGACAGAGCCAAGAGGCCTTCCTGAAAAGTCACACAGCCGCTTCTGCCCAGGGAGCTCTGAGGGACCTGGAGGTGACTGCTGCCACCCGCGTGCCCTGAGCAAAGGAGGGAGCCAGGGGCAAGCTGGCCTGTCCTCCAGCCCACCCCTCAGCTGCCCCCAAGGAGAGAGATGGTAGGGGCAGGTGCAATTTGGGGCCAGAAAAGAGGACTGGGGGGTCATTCTGTCCTGCCCCGACCTCTACATGCACAGCATCAGGGTCTCTGCCAGGTCGGCCACGGCCCACCTCACTCCCTCCAGGAGCAACCAGCATTCATGGTACGGATGGACTTACCCACCCACCCCCGTACTGCTTGTCATGTGGGTTGTTTCTGGTTTTGTTTTGTTTTTCTAGTGTACGTAAGGTTGGAATTTTGCGTTTTGTGACCATTTGTGAAAATATTTCTGTACCCTCGTATTCCTAACCAGATCAAAGGGATGCTATTTTCAAACCGACGGACAGATGTTCTCCCATAGGATGACAGCAGGTTGCGCGGCCGTCGAGAGTCTGTTCAGACCCCAAAGGAGATGTAGGCGCCCAGCAGGGAGCCGGCGATGGCGGCGGAGCCCCCGGTCATGACCACATGGATCTCAGAGAGGGTCATGTCCTCCAGGTAGGGCCGGATGAGCAGAGGGGCCTCCGTCTGCAAACAGGGACAATGTCAGACAAACAGAACAGAGCTGGCCAAGCTGGCACAGGCCCCTGTGGGTCTCCCTCCACCGGGAGTGGGCAGGGGGACCCCGGGGAAGAGACAGCAAATGGGGTGAGCGCCGTGGTCTGCCCTAACTGAGCCTCTCTGCGCGTCAGCGTTGGCCTGGCTCTGTGTGAGGACCCCAGCCCTCCCGCTTGGCCCTCCAGCGCTCCCCTGTCCAGGGCCCCCCACATCCGAGCACCCCCCTGAGCACCTCACATTTGTGCTCATAACCTTCTGAGAAAGAAGAGAGCACCCCCATTTTTCAGGGGAGCAAACAGAGGACAAGGGAGGTTCAGAGAATGACCTCTTCTCATGCAAAGGGCCCCAAGCAGACGCAAGTCCAGTCCGGAGTTTCTAATGAAGCCTGGGGGTTACCAGAAAGGCAAGCATCTCCCGGCAACGGAAACCTTGGCCAGATGGTCCAGGACCACGGAACAGTCAGCAGAGACCCCCCATCGGGAGGAGGGTCAGACCTTCCCAAAGGGGCTCGGGGCCGATAGCGCCTTCAGAGCCACATGTACTTGTGAAAAACACATTTCCAGAAAGAGGAAGTTTTTTTTAAAAAGAGACAAAGTGATATAGTGGAAAGAACCCTGGTCAGGAAGGAAAAACTGGGATTCTGAGTCCTGGCTTATCTTGTGGGGCCTTAGCCAGGCATCCCCGCCCCAGCCTCAGTTTCCTCGTGAACAAAAGGGGAAAGTTGGACCCCACCTCGAGGGCTTGCGAGTCTCCAGGCTGATGAAAGCAGCCGAGGCCTAGGGCAGTCGGAGGTGCCAGACGGACACCGTCCTCCCTGGCAGGACCCAGGCAAAGTGCATCCCCGGGGGTGGGAGGCGGCCGCCTTTGGTGACCCTGGGGGAAGGCTCCCACGGCTCTGCCGCTGCCTGAGTCTGAGCCCCACGGACCCAGGCGCCTGGCCTGCTGCGGAGGCTGCCGATCGGCATGAGGGCAGCGGGCAGCAGCACCCACCTGGTTCACAAAGATGCATCCAGCCATGCTCAGGGTCTCAGTGGCCGTGGTTCTCATGGTGACCTGCATCAGCCAGGCGATCTAGAAGGAAGCGGAGGACTTGGGGGCTGCCGTCCTCAAGCCCCAGGGGCAGACAGAGCCAGGGGCGGGATGACCTTATAAGCCTTCCCTCCAGCTCCCAACCCAGGTAGGAGCCTCTCACCTACATTTCCCCCCAAAAGGGCTATTCATCTTCCCATTCCCGACCTCCATCAAGGGGGGTGTGTCATCCTCAGGGGCGGAGGAGGGGAGAAGGATTCCTTGGTCAAGTGCACTGGGGAGTTACTGCACACGCACGCCTTGGGCGTAACCTCCACGTGTGTCAGCTCAGGGAAGGCTCTGAGAAGGTCCTGCACAGGACTCGCTCACACCGGTCAGCTTCACTAAATCATCTGACCGCGGGGTCCTTCACCTAGCAGCATTTATTAACCTGCTACGGAACTAGAGTTTTACCGCCCTCCCCGCCCAAAAAAAAAAGAAAGAAAGAAAAGAAGAAAAGGCTTTGGGAAGCACTATGCTAGAGAATTCTTCCTTTCCGTCAAGGTGAAATCTGTTCCTCCTCACCTCTCAGGTACCTCCCAGGCCCCCCCCCCCAATGCCCTCATGGTGTCTGCAGGCCGCCGTCCCGCCCGGCCTCCGCCCCGGCCTTCTCTTTCCCAGGCCCCGCGTGCCCACCCACTCCAGCCCGTCTCTGGAGGGTATGGTGTTTGGCCCTGTGGCTCTCCCCACGGATGGCTCAGTTTGTCACTGCCCCTTGAACTGTTAATGCGGCCACAGGCGGGTTTTGCATTCCTGGCAGCCACCTGGTGGTGCAGGTTTATTCTGAGCCTCGTCAGACAAAAGCCGGGGATGTTCTGCGGGGCCCAGGGCTGTCTGCTGCCTGCTGGTTTTGTGCGGCAGGTTTTGGGCCCGGGAGCATGGGGATTGGCATACGCACCAGCTAAGTCTGGCCAACATGGCCCCTTGCTCCAGTCTCCCGTGATCTTTTTGGTCTAAATTACTTTTTTCCCCTAACGTTTCTTCTCAGTGCAGCCTCTGTGCCACAAACTTCACCTCGGATTTTGGCACCGTTTCTCCTTAGTATCACGATAAGAGACTCCTCAAAAAGATGTCTGGTTCGCTGTAGGCTGGAGAAAGTGTAGATTGTAGACCCTGGGAGCAAAGCATTCTGGGAGAGTGCCAGCCCCGGGAGCAGGTGTCCCTGGGAGAGCTCCGGCCACGGCGCTGGGACTCACCTTCAGGATCACCCTCTGCATGAGGCCCACGCGGTAGAGGAGTCACTGACATGACGCAGCTGAAGAAGACAACGATGAGCAGAACCTGCCGGGGAAGAGCAGAGGTCGTGGGTGAGACGGCAGCAGGTGGAGAAGCAGCTCGGAATTCAGTGCATGGAACCACGTCTGTGGGCCTTCAGAACATCTCTGACACCCACGGCCCTGCCTCTGGGCCGGCGCCCCACCCCAGGGCCGCCTCACAGCAGGCTGATTTACAGCCCCCGGCACAGGCAACGAGATCAGGAAAGGCAAGTTTCGTGACCCGAGGAATGGCCACGCCGTGCAGCGGTGGAGCTGGGAAGCAAGAACAAGGCAGCCCTCGATGGGCAGGTCTGAGGTGACGCCCAAGATGGGCCGTTCACCGGAAAAGGGGAGGCGCCCGTGAGTGGCGACGCAGCAGCGCCAGAGGGACCTCCACGCGGAGAGGGAACCGTGTGACCTGGGGCTCGGGGTGGGAGGGAGGCCCCCTGTGCACCCTACTCCCTTTTGTTCTGTTGGAACGTGTTATCTGTTGCAGGTTTAACAGTGCAGTTCATGGTACGCTCACAGTCAGTTATGCAGAGCTGGGGCGCATTCTTGTGCTACGATGTGGTGCGGAGAAATCAGGACGCCAAGCCCCCGAAAGGACGCTGGATCTGGAGCGCCCCCGCAGCCCGAGTAGTGGCTTGTGTGTGCTGGGACGGTGGCTGTCTTGTTCCCTTCTCTCTCTGGGTTCACTTTCTCACCTGCTGTTCTACAACAGGTGGGCACCGTTCAGAGCAGGGAGCTTGGGCAGAGAGAGGAGAGGTGTGGGGCAAGCTCATCAGCTCGGGTTTGAACCCGCTGGGTTTGAGGCGCCTGGAGGACACCCCAGTCAGAGAGGGGGCGGGCGGGTCAGGAGCCCAGAGGGGAGGCCTCCATGCCGGGCTCCTCTGCACAGCCGTGCAGCTCGAGGCCAAGGGACAGATGCGGTTCAGAGGCAACGGCCCTGAGGGAGAAGAGCAATGAGTCAGGCCAGGGCCTTGGGGTCGTGATCAGGCAGCAGAGGGGCAGGGAGAGGGACACCTTTCCAGACGGCACGGTCGGTCAGCCGGGCCGGATGCATCGGAGAACTCCAGAAAAATAAGGACTGAGATGGACCTTGGCACCTGGCGATGCAGCAGTCCCTGGCAGCCTAGGTGAGGGGGTGTCAGACAAGGAGGGGGGACAGAGGCCGGGCACCCGCCCGCGAACCCAGGAGGAGTGGGGCAGGAAGGGGTAGCGAGAGCAAGGAGAAAGCTCTGTGCAGAAGCTGGGCTGTGTGTGGGGCGGGGCCGAGGAGAGGGAAGGGGAGGAAGGGCTGTGTTTGTTTTTCAGAGGAAGGGATCTGAAGCAATCCATGTAGGCTCTAGTTCAAAATGCACAAGGGGTCCGCCCCATGCAGCTCCCCTGGGCGTCAGAGACAAGGCGAGGGAGGTGGGTTCCTTTCGCAGTCGAGAGCTGCATGCACTTGACATCTGTCACCCGCTTTGCTACGGGGCGGAGGGGGGAGGGACGTCACCTGACAGGGACCACGGGCACTGGCTGGAGAAAGCCTTCCTGCCCCGTGACAGCCCCTGACTGCCTGGTGCCGGACACACACGCCGCCCCCCCAACACGAGGGCTGCTGACGTCACTCTGCTGTCCCCGAGAGGGAAACGCATTGAAGGTCACGTACTGTCTAGACGGCCTGTCCAATCTGTCATGCGAGGGGACGGCTCCGCAGGCTGGCAGGGCCGCTGGGGAGGCCGGAGCCAGGAGGGACTGTGCCCAGGGCCTGGGACCCGACTGCAGAATTAGACTTTCTCCAGGCAGTGGCCGAGAGACATTTTCTTTCTGTGAAATGGTGCTGGCTCTCTGGAGAAAGGGAAGCTGTGTTTCGGACTAAATGGTGACTGTCCAGGCAGGGAAGATAAACGGAACGGAAGAGAGGGAGCCCTGGTTTCCTAAGGCAGAACGTTTAATACTAAAGCGCATCCCTGAGGCTGGTGTGGGTGTGATCTCCCAGCCAGGAAACTTCACTCCCCGAGTGGGGCCCCTGAGGCTGTGAGATGTTGGCTACCTGCCCAAGGTCACACACCTGCAAAGACACAGAGGACGCCCTGTCTACCAAGCAGGTGGCCAAGCCCCTGCCCTGACCCCGGGGGAGCTTGGCTCTGTGCCGGTACTAGGGCCTCGTTTCTCGGTCTCCAGGGAGACCCTCCCCGGAGGGTCTGAGCCCAGGGCGCAGGCTCTCCATGATCTCCCGAGGCTACCTGGGGGGTCCCCCACATCCCCAGCCCCAAGGCCCAAGCACCGCAGACCGCTGGTCACCAGCCCCGGGTGACAACGAATCACAAAGCCCCAAAGTCTAGCAGGTTCCTCGGAAGTGACAGCTGCAATATCACCACCAGGATAGGAAAGCGTCTACGCTGGACATGCCACCCCTCTGCCCAGAGTGACGTCACCACCCAGCCCCTCCCCCTGTCTCTGCCTGTCCAGGTCCCCGGAAGACCTCTCTGTAGGTGCTGCGCTCTGACCGGCCCCTCCTGGGTCAATTGTCCGCTATCATCCTGACTTGGTCTCCGTGTATTTCCCAGTCCCGCCCCTGAAAACAGTGCCAAGGTGACCAGTGACCCCTTAATTACTAAATCCAATGGCACCTTTCTGTCCTTATCTTAATTTTTTCATCCCTATCTTACTTGATTATTATTATTATTATTATTATTATTATTTTTTTTTTTTTGCAAAATTCAGCACTGTTGATCATTGGGGATTGCAGGGGCTGCACCAGGCAGATGTCCTGAAACCCTTGGGAGATGAGGGCATGTCGCTTCCCCCTTGGGGCTCCTGGGGGAGAAGGCGTGGGCAGCAGTGCCGAGCCCAGGAAGCGGGGGCGAGTGGCAGAGGCCAGAGTGTCCGCGAACGAGTGAGTGACTGTGTGCTCCAGGTCAGCCAGGCCCAGGAAGAATGCAGGAGCCTGGCAAGGGGCCGGGGGAGCTGTCATGTGGGTGGAAAGTTACCAGAAGGCAGATAGAGCCAAGGTGGAGTGACTAATCAAAATGATACAGCTGGGAGGTGGCTGCCACGGCAACTGGGCTGGACCGCAGGCCCCGGGAGGTGGGGGGGGACTGGGGCTCCGCTTCCTGGAGGGGTGAGGAGCTGGACTGTGGCCAGCAGGAAGCCGTGGGGACTCTGAAAATCCGAGGGAGCTCAGAGAAGACTTCCCTAGGCTGACAGGGGGGCGAAGGCCTTGGACTGGGTCCACGTGATTCATGGAAAGAACAGAAAGAAAAGCTTCCGAGTCTTCTGTTCAACTCCGCACCAAAGAAGCCACTCCCACATCGGGGACAAGCCCCAGTCCTGGCGAGTGTGCATGTGTGTGAGTGTGCACATGTGTTTGTGTGACAGTGTGCATGACACAGAGAAGGGGCTGTGAACGAAAATCTGTGACGAGTGCGTCTCGTAAGGGAATTTCGTGGCCACGGAGCATCTGTTGTAAGTCCTCCCTCCCCCACCCCGCCTTTGCTCCGAAGGCCCCTGGCGCACCCACGGACCAGGGTTCGCCCACGGGACGGGGCCTCCCAGGGGCCAGGAAAAAGTTCAGTGTGTGAGGGGGCTGGTTACTGATAAACCCACCTCCCTCAGTTTCTTTCTCTTGACGGAAGGTCCAAACTCAAAATCTGTAGCAACCATTCGCATGTTTTAAACGCGTTACTGCTGTGACTAGGGATGCTCTTTGGGGGGTGGGCAAGATGTCACTGCCTTGGACTATGAGGAAGACCCGGGATCTCTGAGCATCCTCACAGCCTGTGGGCTATGAATTCGGGGTTCTACAGGGTGGTTCGGGGAGAGATGCAAGTAACAGGTGTCTGCACCTTCTTCCAGAAAGGCAGAAAAGATGAAGGATGCAGCTAACAGCGAAAACATACCACCAAGCTTTGCGATCCCATTGCCAGGGCCCCCTCCCAGGGTCTGAGGCTTCAGATCTGCTAGCTTCCAGGGTTCCCTCACCCCCTCAGCCCAGGCCTGGCCCACACAGTGCACTGGGACTCCTCACTAGCCTGGCAAAGGCAGGCCCACTGAGAAAAGCCTCGTGGCTCAAGAGTCAGCTGACCTGAAAGGCAAAGACATCCGTGACTTTCCGGAACACGAAGCTGGTGACGGCCTCGGGGTAGCTCAGGAAGATCTGAAAGAAACAAAACGAAACAGTGGAGGGAGGCCGTGAAGGAAGGAGAGTGGACACAGCGGCAGGAGAGGGAGCCAGAGGGGCCTCCGAGGCTGACCCCGCTGCACAGGGGGAGAGAGGGACACCCAGGCGCAGGCCCTCTGGCCCTGCCCGGGGCAGGCTGGCCTCACAGAAGCAGGCACAAGTCCTGGCACTGTCCCAGTTAAAGCCGCAGCCGTGGCCCTTCTCCCCTCCTAAGATCATTCTCTGGAAGGCACACCCTTTCGCTAAATCTTAAAGAGATGCTCCGAGATGAGAGTTGTTTGGATAATAAAGAAACAGCCAAGGGAGCGAGACAGTGAGCGGTGAGGAGGCCGTCAAAGGGAGCGCCCTGTGCCTGCCACTCCCTCCCTCCCTCCGGAACAAGGGCACAGACCCCCACCTCGCCTCCCATCCCAGGGCCTCGGTGTCACTGGAATCTGGCCACCCTTCTATGGGAGACCGATTTAGGACCCACGCTTGTGTTGTGACTGCAGGGACAAGTCACTCCACCTGTCTGTAAAATGGGGGACGGGACCAGAGGAGTGACTCTGCCTTCGACAACCCCACAGCCACATAGGTGGGGGACCTGGACAGACATGCAGGGGGGGTTCCTCCCGAGAAAACAGGGGCCTGCATGATGAGAGGGGCGGAGCTAGGGAGCAACCGCTTGTCTCCTGTAATTTATGCTTTAAAGTGAGTCATGCTGGTTGCGCAATGGTGGGAACAAACTTAATGACTTAAGAAGGGAGAAAATAGGGACGGTTGTGTTGGGTGTGTTCGCTGCAGTAAAACAATGGGACTACAAAAGTGTGACTGCAACACACTGAACATGAGGCACGCACATACACAAAGCAAAGTCACTCGTGATTTTTTAAGCACTTGTAACTACGATAAGGGCCACATCACTGGTGAACTCGGAGAGCCCTGTGCTCCGGAGCCCTGAGACGCCCCCTGTGCTGAGGCCTCTTCCGCGTCAGCCCCAGCCTCTGAGGGGACCTGGGCAGGTGGCTCTGGGCCTGAGGGGAGTAGCAGCCGCACAGTCCAGCCCCCAGCTCCCCCCTGGTCTGGGGCCCACCACCCACCAGCCATCCCCGTCCCAATCCCTCACCTCCCACCTCCCCCCCCACCCATACACACAGTGGCTTGTTTTCAGTTCCCTGGCAACCCAAGATGCCCCGGGCAGCCGTGCCCCGTGGACACACCTGGATCTGCTCTCCCAGCCACTGGAATGCAATAAATCCAGGCTCTGTTCTGATGACGAGGAGTCCAAGTACAAACTGTAGCCCGAGGCCCCGGGACACGGCCCTCCAAGGTACCTGCCACCAATACTGGAAGGTCCTGGTGAGCTCAGCTCCTGGGGGACCCACAGGGACAGGGTGGGGTGAGAGCAGAGGGCGGGGGCTGCTCTGAGGGGCCATGGGGGCTTTGTGTGCCTATAGAATGGGGCTGGGCCTAGCCAGAGGTCTGGACCTGGCGACAGTGGTCACTTCCTCCCTGGAGCTCGTAGCAGGCCACTCTCTTGGCGGCAATGAGCCTGGGGCAGTGGGCAGGGGCGGGCAAGGTCTGGCTGAGGACCCAGGTAAAACCCCACAGCCTTGAGAACCCTGTGGCACCGGGTCCTGGGTCCTCACTGGGTGGGCGGGGTTGTGGCCTCGGTGTAACCTCCATCTGCCTGGGCCCTTCCCCCGTCTCCCCCCTCCATGGGCAGGGTCCCCAGCCATCCTAACCCCACTCTGTCCATGCCCCTACTCCAGCAGAGGGGAGCTGGACTCCTCTCAGCCTTTCATGATGCCTTAGTGGTGCTTCCTCGGTGCTGGATTCCAAACTCAGGTGTGCATAGGATGCCTGCAGGCTTGGCTGCAGCCTGGGGAAGGTGTTAGCCACACTGGGAGGCCAGGAGGGGTCCTCACAGCGGGGTGGTTGTCCCGGCAAGGAGGCGGAGGGAGAGAAGGGGCTGCGGCCCACTCTGGGCCTGACAACTAAGCACTGACCGCGCGATGGTGCTTTGAACAAGCGAAGAGGATGCTGACGAACACGCAGATTCCTGCAAAGGACACCAGCTTCTCAGGCTGCCGGGAGGTGTCCAGAATTAGCCATAGACCCAGGCCCAGGGGAACAGTGATGGCTAGACCCCTGCAGGGGAAGAGAAGAAAGACATCACCCTCAGTATCACCCCCACCCCACACCGTGGCCCCTTCGGCCCCAGGGAAAGCACACGCAGGGCTGGTGGGAGGAGTGCAAGCTGTGTGACTCCAGGCAAACGACCTAGCCTCTCTGAGGCTGATCTCCTTGCTGAGAAAAGGAAGTCAAAGATTCCCCCTTTCTCAGGGTTGGGAGAGGACTGCATAAGAGGGCACAGAGCTTAGCACCTTGCCTGCTTCCTTGTCCCTACGCAACAACTGACCTGTTTTCTGTTACCAGATTAGTCTTTATTTTCTGGGTTTTTATACCGATAGAATCATACACATTTTTTTTTTTTTGCCTGACTCCCTGGACTCAGCGTGATAGTTTTGAGATTCATCCGTATCTTTGCACACATCGATTGCTCCTTCCTTTTTCCTGCTGAGTGGTATTCCATTCACCTGTGAATGGGCATCTAGGTTGTTTCCGGTTTGGGGCCATTATAGACAAAGCAGCTATGAACTTCTGCACATTCATGTGCAAGTCTTGGCAGGAGTCTATATGGTTTCATTTCTCTTGAGTAAACACTATAAACTGAATGGGTGAGTCATGCGGTAAAGTCTAACTTTTTAGGAGACTGCCAAACTGTTTCCCAAAGTGATTGTACAGTTTTACCTTCCCACCAGCCATGTATAAATGTCCCAGTTCCTCCACATCTTTGCCAACACTTGGTACAGTCAAACTTTCAAGTCTTAGCCATTCTAGTGGGAAGACAGTTGTATCTCTTTGGGTTTTAATTCGTATTCCCTCATGACTAAGGATGTTGAGCACCTCCCCTTTTGTTTATTTACACTTATCTATCTCTTTTTATTAAATGTCTGTCCAAATATGGCTTCTGCCGCTGGGTAGCCCATTATTCTAGCAGATTTTGTTGAGGTGATCATTATTTCTCCACCGAATAGCCTCAGCACACTTGTCAAAAATCAATTAACCGTATATATTGGGCTCTATTTTTGGACTCTACTCTCTTCCACTGATCCATTTGTCTGTGTTGATGCCCAGAGCACCAAAACAGACAAATTACTGTGGCTTCGTAACAAGTGTTAAAGACAGGTGATGTAGGTTCGTCAACTTTGTTCATCTTTTCCAAAGCTGTTCTGGCTCTTCTAGGTTCTTTGCATTTCTATTCAATACATGGTTTTTGGACTTCCACCCCAAAAGCCTGCTATAATTTTGATTGAGATATTACTAGAATCTATAGATTCATTGGAGGAGAACTGATATATTGACAACACTGATATATTTGATTCGTGGATGTGGCAATTGGCTCCGTTAATGTGAAGTCTTCTTTCATTCCTCTCAGTGATGTTGTGTGGTTTCCCATGCACAGGTTTGCAGGCCTTTTGTCAGGTTTATCCTTAAGTAGTTCATATGTTATGCTACTCTAAAGAGCATTTATAATTCAAACTTATGATGACTGTTAGTATATGGAAATACAGTCGTGTGTTGTATGTTGATCACGTTCCCGGCAACCTTGTCAAATGCCCTTATTAGTTTTCCACAGAATTCTCTATATTGTCCACCACATTGTCTGTGGTAAAGGCAGCTGCACTCCTTCCTTTTTAACCCACACATCTTTCCACTTCTCTTTCTTATCTTAGCGTCTGAGCTAGGACCCCAGCACCAAGTGAACTAAAAGCGGTGGCAATGAACATTCTTACACAATGAAACCTGGACCCTAATCCCTCCCGCCGACTCAGACCCCAGGGGCGGTACTATGGGAGGCGCCGATAGGGGCCCTGCCTGCTGGGAGGGGCTGGAGGGAGGGGCTGGAGTCTCATCAGTGAGAAAACTGCAGGGTCCCGTTCTCTGCGGCCATAGTGGCCTGCGGTGAATGGGGCCGAGAACCAGACAGGAACTGGCAAATCCTCCACAAAGACCGCTGCCTCCTGCAAAGCTACCCAGCAACACCTGCCCTGGGGCTTCCAAATGGCAAGCGGGGTGGGGCGTGGTCCCCGGGGCACAGGAACTGTCTGGTGGGGCAGAGGAGGCCCCCCTAACTTGGCCCTGACTGTGACCCCAGAGCTGACTCAGAGGCCTTCAGGCGATGTGCCCCACCCCACCCAACCCCACCTGGGGCTGTGAGCTCACTCACCTCTTAAACCAGAGGCGCAGGCGGGAATTCTTCAGAGGCATGCCTCAGTAGCCTGGGCCCCAGCAGCCTCTTCCCCGGGCTGTGGACCAGGAAGACCAGGACGACACAGGTGAGGACACACAAGGCCAGGGTCCTCTGGAAATCCAGGTTGCAGGCAATCAGCGGGAAGGTGGTGAACACTGGGAGGAGGGGGACAGGGACAGAGAAAGGGGTCCGTGACGGGGATGCCAGCCTCTGCAGGCCCCTGCGGGTCCGCCCCCAGGCTCTGTCCGCTCCACGCAGAACTCAGGAGGCCAGGAATTCTACCCAGCCCCTCTGAGCCTCAGCCCCCCTCACCGGGCAGTGAGGACAATCGCCCCTCCAGCGTTGGAGGGCTGAGATGGAGTGGACAGGATGTATGCAAACGGGCTTTGCAAAGCGTCAAGTGCAGGGGAAACATGAAGAGGCAGCTAGACAGCACAAACTTTTTTAAAAAATTTTATTTATTTATTTTTAGAGGGGAAGGAGAGAGGGAGAGAAATATCAATGTATGGTTGCCTCTCGTGCGCCCCCTGCTGGGAACTGGCCTGCAACCCAGGCATGTGCCCTGACTGGGAATCGAACCTCGATTCTCTGGTTCACAGGGCTGCACTCAATCCACTGAGCTACACCAGCCAGGGCCAACAGCCTGAACTTTTTAAGCATCAAAGCCCAGCCTTTCTGTCTCAGAGCTCACTGGGTCCCGCGGAGGACCGAGCACGCTGGTGTGCGACCAGCTCCCATTCTGAAATAGTAATCAGGGACCATTTCCGTCCTGCAGTCCCCTTCCCTGCTTTGTCCTTCTCCCCTCCAAGGAGCTAAGCCAGCCTGTGCCTCGAAAAAGCAGTAAGACCGTGGATCACAGAGGGGGAAACGGCTCTGCCTGGCTTATGAACTCCCGAAGCCGGGGCTCTGGGAGAATGGAAAGGTCTTACCTCCTTTCCATCGGATGAAAAATGTGGGAGGAAACATCCTAAGTGTAAACCCTACCCCCACCCCCCCGCGGCCAGACGAGTTGGAGGACACTGGGTGGAGGGTCCCCACTTGGCTTTCTCCCACCTCTAATCTCAAATACACCAAAGAAACTGCAAATTGTTATTCTCAGAAGTATTTTTCTCAGCCTGTGCAGCTCTTGCTACCAGGTGTATTCTCCGTTTGGTTGAAGTAAATTATTATAAAAGTTCTCCATAGGTTTACCCGTTCTTGCACTGACGCCGTATCAGCCCTTTCTCATCCGTCCAGCCTCGCCCTCCAAAACTCCTCTTCCCCTCTGGTCACATCAGACTGTTGATCAGTGCCCTGCCCACACCCTGCCTGCTTTTACCTTTGCTCCTGGGGCTCTTCTGCATGGAGTGCCTTCTTGCTCCTTACCGGCCTTCTTCTCTGCCTGGCTAACTCCTGCTCAGCCTGTGAGACTCATATGTCACCTCCTCCTGGAAGCCCTCCCTGATCACCACTACCACTCCTCGGTGCTCTCAGATGGCTTGCTGCACTATGTGGCACTAGTTGATGCCCTCTCCCTTACTGGTGACAGTGCCCTAGGAACAAGGTCTGGTCTGCCTTAGCCCCGATGACCCTGCCCTGAGACGTGGGTGGCTGGGGCAGAGGGGGCTGAGTGGGCGGTGGGGTGGGAGGGGCTGGGCTCACCAGTGCAGAGCAGGCCTTTGCAGATCCATCGAAACAGCTGCGCGTGCTCCCTGCAGAAGCCCCTCGCTCTCAGGGCTGGCTGCAGTCCCCTCCTGAGGAGGAGAGACCAGAGGGTCCACGAGTGGCCCCTCCAGACGCCCGTCCCTGTCAGGGTCCTCACCGCCTCCAGGTGGAAGCCACCCCAGTAAAAGGGCAACATGGGGTGATCCAGGCGCTGACCTTGACCTCCCACAGGGCTGCAGAGCAACCCCAGCCCAGAGCAAACGGAGGAAAGGCTCCGGCCACCCATGCCTTCCTGCCGCCCGGTGCCTCCACCTGACAGGTGCACACCCCGCTGGCTGCCGCCTCTCCCCGTAGCATCACCACCTGTCTGTGGAGCAAGGTGGGGAGGCCCCCCCACTTTGCAATTAGCCCCCCGGAGCCAGGAAAACTTGGCATTGAGTCAGCAGCTCCTCCCCAAGAGGACGTGCGAACAGCGCCCCCCCCCGCCCTGCACCCAGCGGCGGTGACCCCACTGCTTCCCACGCCGACGAACAGTGCCCATTCTGGCCTGGCCATTGGGTCCCTGGCTTATCCCTGCAGTGAAGGCTGGACTCTGAATAGCCTCTGGGGTCCCCCAGGCTGAACATGTGGGAGATACGCGGGCAGAGCCCATCAGGCATCAGCGGCAGTTTTAAGGACCCCCTCTACCCTCTCTGTGCCCCCACTTCCCACCTCCCCAGTGCATCTTCCTCACTCTGCCCCCCAAGGCAGGCACATAGAATCCACCGCCCAGCCCTTCATGATCTCCTCAACTCAGGACCGGCCCGGGAGGACCCCAGTGGGGCCTGGGCACTGGGGGGCCGAGTTCCAGACTCCGACATGCTGCTGTGTGACCAGGGCCCATTCCTTTCCCTCTCTGGGCTTCAGCCTTCTCGTCTGAAAACGAGGGCCTGGCCAAGTTCAGGGGTTTTCAAGCTAAGCCTCCCTGTTCCCTAAGGTGCCCGGAGATGGTGTGTGGTAGAAGGTGGAGGGGGAGGTCCAGAGAGGGCCAGTCTGGTTTGGGGACCCCATCCAACTTCAAGCAGAGCTGCCCCACAGCACATTTTGGGGGCTTCCCATGGGATTCCGCTCTGGCTGCTTCAAAGCAGGTTGGGAGCCTCTGGCCTGGCTCACCCGAGGAAGAGGCCAGCAGAGCACATTCATTGGCGGAAATGCGCTTTCTCCTTCCCGCAACACCCTCGCCCCCCAGGTTTGCCCCTTCCCCAAGCCAGCCCGAGTCCCCTCCCAGAGACCACCTACCATTCTGAGGGGGGCTTCTGTCTGGCTGTGCTCCAACCGTTCCTGCCGTCTGCAGGGGTCAGGGTGCTGCCAGGGGTCCGGCGTTCCTGCTAAAGCTACCGGAGAGTGACCACGGTGTATCTGCTGCCCCAAGGGAGAACCAGGGCCGGGGGCCCGGAGCGGGGAGAGGCCCTGGCTGCCGCCAGTGCGCTCACAGGCAGCGCAGGAGCAGGCCGCGGTGGGGCCTGGGCTTTCTTTTGCACAGGCGGTAACTAAAAGGCAACTTAAATTCTGCAGAGCACGCACTTAGCGCCTGCTTTGTGCCAGACACGCCGTGTCCTCAGAACGCCTGGTCAGCCCGAGACTCGGCTGTGCCAGCACTGTGGCCGCCTGGCCACGCAGCCCCAGGACACCAGTGGCCCCGTCTGTGGAGCTGTGTTCTGATGTGCAGATCACAGCGTGAGAGGCGCCCGCCCCGGGTTGTGCGGTGCAGTGAAGGGGAGCTGGGGTTCTCAGGGGATGTCCCTCTGAGACTCCGGGAGTTCCTGGTGGCGGGCCCCCCCGGCCATGCTGGAGCGAGGACACGCTTCCCAGCTCCTCAAAGTCTGAGACTTCCACGGAGACCCCCACCCCTGCCCCCATGTGGTTGGTCTCTCCTCGTCCTTGAAATCGAAGCTCAATCAGCTCATCCTGGTTGAGGCCTTCACAGCCCTTTCAGACTAGGGCGGGCTGTGCCGGAGCGTTGTGGGTTCAGGAGGTGACATAGGGGCTACCCTGTGCTGGAGGGGGCCAACACGTGGGGGGCGGTGAGGGGGTGCGGGTCCCAGTGGGCTGAGTGAAGAGGGGAGAGTGAGTGAAGGAAATGGGTGAACAAAGGCCCCTCCCACTAGAGGACCAGGATGGGGATGGGGAAGGAGACAGACCAGGTTTTCTAAGAGCTCAGCTCCCGTGTTGTCCAGAGCATTGGACACGAATGCCAGAGAGATGGACTCTTTGGGTCTCTGTGTGTTGTCTTCCATGTACCACACCTTCCCACCGAAAGACAAAGTCGGGGCCCAAAGCTGAAAGGGGAAGGACAGGCAGGACCCAGGGAGGGACCTGAAGAAGGGAGAGGGCTGGCGGGGGGCGGACAGGGGGTTCAGACACCCGGAGCTCAACCGACACCAGGTCTGGAGGCAGGGACGGACTCCCCAGTAACAGAGGGAGGTGTCCCTTCCTGTACTCACTGCTGAGCCCGTGAGAGGCAAGTTCTCATAAATCTGTGAGGCCAGGAAGTGTCGGGAGCCGACCAGCACCAGGTGTCAAGGGACAGGTGCTGTGTCTCATCTGTGTTCCTTGACACAGATGAGACACAGCACCTGTCCCTTGACACCTGCACAGCAGAGGTGACCGTGGCTGGATTTCCTGTCTATCTCTCCTTGCATGTCTGTCTTTGCAATCAATAGGTGGTGAGATTTTTAGACACCTGCATTTCAGGGTCAGTGATCCGCAGAATTCCAATGAGGTTGTACAAAATGATCCCTTGCCCATAGAACAAAGTCCCCCCTAATGGGGGAGCCCCTGGACGTCTAAAAGTAGATGGAGTAACAGCCCCCTCCTCTACCTTGGACAGGAATATATATTAATAGAATTAGGTAAAGAAGCAGGAAAAGCCGGTTAACTATTACAAACTGAGCACGTAGAAACAATGGCTAAGGAGTTAGAGTCCAAAGTACATAAAGTAAGATTCTAGACAGGAAGATAGCTAAGTTAGACACCACAAAGGCCTTTTAATAAATTCTCCATAACCACTGTTCAGTCTAGCGTATCCTTTTGACCCATGCCAAATTCTAAGAACTTTAATAAACATTTATTCATCCATAAGACACGTAGAACTCTGTACATACAGCTATTTCTAATTGTCTGATCAATGGCTCTCCTGGTCAAAATAACCTTTGTTTAACATAACTGAATCTATGGAATTTCCTGTACTTTTCCTGGTTACCTCTGTATTGTTTTTTTCTGCTTAACTGATCATGCTATGCACCTGTTCCTTTAATGTTATATGACAGTCTCTATAAAAATAAAGCTTAAGTCAAACTCTGTGAGTTCGGCCAGACCCACAGAGGCTGGCTGTGCTCCGGCATCCAATCGGGTGTCTGACTTCATTCGTCGCCTGCGCCGTCCATCCTTTGGGGACCCTGAGACCTGATGAGGCTGGACCCCAGCAAGGAAGAAACAGGGCAGTTCTGCCCACTACACAGGGACGGACAGGACGGAACTCTGTACGGCAGGGACATGTACCTGACACAGGTACGTGGTCCCGAAGGGGAGCCCTGGCTTTCAATGCTCTCCACAACACTATGGCTTAAAACCATTGCCCTTAAATGACACCTTCCCTGTACTGTACTGCCCCACCTCTGAAAGATGAGACGCTATGTCCTGAAGACTTCGCTCCAGTCCCTGGGTCCAGCTGTACCTGAAGCCAGCCCCAGCCCTCAGCTTTCCAATTCCAAGAGCCAAGTTTGTTGGTTGTTGTTGTTAATAAGAGCCCTAAGGCCCCATCTCTCTCTATTCCTGTCCCCTCTCTTTTTCTTCCCCGAGGGGTGTAACTTACACTATCCGAACCCCAGCCTGGGGAAGGTCCCAGGCCCAGAGGTGTGCAGTGCTGTGTGAGCACAAGAGCAGGAACATGAGTGGAAGTGCCCACACAGGTGGAGCCTGGGGAAGCCCCGCTCCCCACGCCCACACAGCCACACCGCTGCACGGAGGGGGGCAGGTGCCTCTGCCTACTCACGTATTTGCAGTAAACAAGCCACGTGCTAGGACCACGGGGAGCGTGGTCTTCCATGAAGACGAGCTGGATCCAACCTGCTTGCCCTTTGCCCTGCCTTCTCATGTCGGTGCAACAGGCTGGGCACAGTTCAGAGTTGGAATAGGCTGGGCTGCCCGGACAGCTCCGTCAGAACCCAGGCGGGGACCCCGACCTCTCTCAGGGCAAAGGGGAACAGGGCAAGGGGGCCCCGCTCTAGGCCTGGGCCAATGAGCTCTCCTACCCTCTTACTTAATCTGCCTTCCTCCTTTAAGATGCCCTCCTCTTCACTGTCGCCTGCTCCCAAACGTCCCTACCCCTTCCAGGAAGCCCAGCCTGAGTGCCCTCACCCTTCCCACGGCCCTCCTCTGCAGCCCCCATTCCCCCTGACATCAGAGTCACCCAGTTTCTCAGACCAGGCGTTTTCACCTTTCACCCCACCCCCTTTCCAGTCTTCCCTCCTCCTGGCGTCTGTTTTCCTGGGCTTGCAGAGGACGGAAGCAGTGCGGCCCCACAGGGAGTGAAGGCGCTTCTGGTCCAGGCGTCAACTCCGGTCCCGCACACGGAATAACCCCATGCAGTCTGCCCTCTCGTTCCGTTTTTCTCTGTCACTGACACCTGAGCCCCTCATGCAAAGTCAAGGGTGTAGTGTCTTGGTTCTCAAACAAAACATCAAAACTTACTGGACAGGACTGACACTATCTCTTTAATGATTAAACGCGCACCTGCAGGATGAAACTCTCAATGACGCACCGATGCTTCCTGGGAACAGGGCGCAGAGTCGCCGGCAGGGGCTCGCGGTTCCGAAAAAGCAGAAGATGACGGATGGAGGGGGTGGGTGCTCCCTGTTCTGAAAACCTTTTTGTCTGCCCTTCTGACGGCCAAAACATTACCCGTGCTTTGTGAAACATCGAAATGTTCTAGAAATACACAAAACACAGAAAGTCGAAAGTCTCTGTAATCCGAACTTTCTGCTGATGACCGCCACGGAGTTTGTGGTATTTTTTTTGTCCAGACGTTTTTCGTTATTGTTGTTTTCTTTCCTTAGGCGAATACTGTGTAATGCTATTCATTTCGCAAAAGGGGCTCGGACTCCACCAGCTTTTCCTCAACTGGATTTCTTGGCCAGGGGTCCGTACCTTGCCACCCTCACTCTTTGGAGGGGCAGAGGGAGACGAAAACCGTGTGTGTGTGTGTGTGTGTGTGTCTGTGTGTTTATATTCGCTTGCCTTCCAATCACAACAAAAGAGCACTTAGAGGGATTTATAACGAAGAGGCTGCTCCGCCGCCCCAAAGGTATTCCATTCCTCAGAGGCTACTGGTGTCTGCTTTTTGTTCTACTGTTCTGGGGCCACCCTCTCTTTCAGGGGAGTTCTGGGCCAGAGGGTGAGAAACGACCCCTCCTCCTTGCCCGACTTTGATAGAGCAGAGAGCATGTTGTCACAAGTGGTGAGGGAAATGCCACCGTCAGGCGGAAATGCTCAGTGACCCGTCCTCTCGCGGTCTCGTCCGCGCTCATCGCCTGGTTCCTCGCAGGCCAGGTCTCTGGCATTACACTGATTTGTGTAACCAGTCCAATCACTGGCCAGAAAGAGAGTCTCCTCCCTGGTCAAGTTCTATGAACAGGACCTTGTCATCCTTTCCGAAAGGTCCAACGCCACTGCCTGCACTGCCTGGCAAGACTGTCCCAGAGCTTTACCTGGTACGGTCCGCCCCGTGAGCCTCTCTGTTCACCGAGAGCAGATGGGCACGCAGGGCCACTGTCCAAAACAAAACAGAAGAGCGGGTCTGGGGCTCACCTCTCCCAGCCAAGGAAAAAGGGCCAGTCACATGCGGAGCCCTGGTCCGGCAGCCAGGAGGGCCCACGGCCACCAGGCAGGGGCAGTTCCCCCACGCGGGTAGAAGATCACCGCTTCCAGGTGTTTAACTGGTCACTACTTTGTGAAGAATGTTTCCCTTGTCATTTCACCTCCTATCCTTCTTGCCTCATCATCGAGTATTAGCTTTTCATATAACGAGAGGTTGAGGTTTCCGTCGGGTCCAGGTTAAGATGTTCTACAAACCAAAGTTGTTCTTAATTCACGTCATCCCACCGGATTCAAAGGTGGGTTCGTTCGTGGCCCTCAGACCAGAAGCTCTGCCCTCCGTCTGAGGTGCACGGCTCGCCTGCGGCCACGGGCAAGGGCTACAGGACTATTAATTTGGTACCCATGGCCTCATCAGCCCAGAACCTGACCTTGAGTCCCAGCCGATAAACTGGTTATTTACCCAGGCAAAAATCATTCTTTAATTGCTCCGTCTTCTCTTCCTGATAGAGAAGCGGCTCCCTGGGGTGGCGCCTGCTGTGTCCATGTGGGAGGTGCTGCCACGGGGGGGGGAACAGATTGAACACACTTGTTAAGGAAGAACAAAGAGGGACACCGCTGCGTGTCACATCTTGACGTGCAAACCGTTGGGGTGTATGCTGTGTCCCTCCGCACAGGCGAAGTTCCACTGACTTTGCCACGCTGGCGACTAGAAGGCCCAGGCTGGTCTCTGAATCCCTTCCGACTGGTGCCGACTGCTCTTCCCGTGCGGACCTGCCCACGCACACCGTGACTCATGCCGAAACCCTCCCTTCCACACCACTGTGTGTGTGGAAGTGCGCTTCATTTTTCCGAAGGTCGTATCCAATAATTCCCTTCAGTTCTGTGACATTGGCGGTTTGTGGAGAACCCAGAGCCATGCAGGAGGTCGCTGCAGGCCAGCTTGTGGGTTGGGAGGCGGTGCTGTTCCACACAGGATGAGAGCTGGGAAGAGGGATTTCAGGTGTGGGGGTCTCTCTGCCCCTGAACTCTCTCCAGCCACTTCAACCTGAGTGAGAGGAAAAACACCTGTGTCTCCCCACTTGAAGAAGGGCAGTGTGTGAGTGAGCCCTGATATGGGCCCTGCAGTTCTGGGACACAGTGACAGCCACGGCACCGCTGAGAGCTTGGTATCTGCCTGGCTGTGCTGAGAGCTTTACCCTCAGTATCCTGGATGACCCTCGTAAGACCCTCATGAGGTAGGCGCTGCTCACCGCTTCCCCCCACCCGCCCTCCACAGAGGTGGGGGAGGGCGGCATCATAAATGGAGCACCGTGGAGAAGTCGAACAGGCCGAGGTAGGGGCACGGGCCGCTGTGCTCAGGGCCGTATTCGAGAGATCTGAGCTGACACTTGAGCTGTCCACTGTCCACCCCATGGGTCCACTTCACCTGCGGCTCAGTGAGCAGGACAGATTTCGGGCCCACACTGAGACGTGATGGCTGTGAACTGTGTTCTCTGGCCAGACTCCCCGGCATCGTGGACACTAAGCCTCTGCCTGATTCAGGGCAGTGGGAGAGGGAAGTCTGCGTCTGTCCACAGCCTGTTCCAGTGAGAACTCTCACGGGCGGGAGGGGTGGCGTGTGGGACTGAAGAGGTTTAGTGTGAAGCCAGGCCGTTTCATTGGATTGGAAATGTCAGCTGGGGCTGCAGCAG